GAATCCAGAAAGAGACAAACACCATTTGCACAATTCAACATACAAACAATGCTGCTGTTTCTTCTTATTCAAGTGTAGTTTTTGACACTGCAAGAGTATGTTAGCACAGGTCTACAGGACTTGTAGTTGATATAGAATATTTCAGTTGGAAGACACCTACAGCAATCTTGTAGTCCAACTGTCTGAGCACTTCAGGGCTGACCAAAAGTTAAAGCATGTTAAGGGCATTGTCCAAATGCCTCTTAAACACTGACAGGCTTGAGGCATCAACCACCTCTCTAGGAAGCCTGTTCCAGTGTTTGACCATCCTCTTGGTAAAGAAATGCTTCTTAATGTCAATCTAAACATCCCCTGGCACAGCGTTGAACCATTCCCGCACATCCTATCACTGGATACCAGGGAGAAGAGATCTGCACCTCCCTCTCCACTTCCCCTCCTCAGGAATCTGTAGAGAGCCATGAGGTCATCCCTCAGCCTCCTTTTCTCCAAACTAGACAAGACAGAGTCCCAGATCACTCCTCACAGGACATGCCTTCCAGCCCTTTCACCAGCTTTGTTGCCCTCCTCTGGAGACATTCAAGGACCTTCACATTCTTGCTTGTCAATCACACCACATACCTATCCCCCAAAGGCTGTGTCACACAACACAGGTAAAGCACAACTATACCAAAACTTGGAATCAGCTGTTGGTAGTGGCTAGCCTTAAATGTTTAGACTAAGAAGGATCAAAAATCCACTCAGGTTTGTCCTTGCTCTCATTCTGATGTGTATTTCTCCTCCTTTCTTCTTTTTGTCACTTAACAAATTCGTACACACTTTTGAGAGATTTTATTTACATTTTTGTTGCATACAGACACAGATCAAAAATTAGCATCAGCCCTTTTCCTCAAAGACCCTGTGATACACATCGTAGCTGCATCAGACAAATGAAACAGTCCTGCCAAAAATGGATGAGACAAGCCTTAAGGAAAGCAGAAATCACAGCCTGCTACTTGCTTAATCATTGCCATTTGGAGTAATCTCTTGCCTCTTTGATTAGTAAACTACATGTTACAGAGATACAGAAATTTGCCATGTATTATTTTTACAAGCAGGCCTAATCCTATACCAAGTCCTCTGTCCTTCCATCAGAACATCTACATGCATACAGTAGGAAATTAGGCTTCAAGAGAGCCCCTCCTTCATAGACAAAGTGGCACTATGCATTATGTTGAAACAAGTTGGATGATGGTTCCATCTTCAGAATTATTTGATTTTACATCTTCCACCAAAAAAAAATCAGGTGATATAAAGAAAGTGTTAAGGTTAGCAATAAAGAGCAAAGTGATAAAAATGAACTTTCCAAGTCTAGAAGTAAAATTGTCAAGACTTAGACCTTTCCTAATGTATAACAATGTAGATAGTTACCAATATATGCAGAAGACTAACCCTAAGGACCAAGCAAATGTGCGGTAATGAGACAAATATAATCGCTAGGTTTTATTCTAGGTTTCAAAGCACAGGCAAAACATCATTTTGTAGTTTCTTTATATGCTGATAGAGTCATCTTCTGACTGCTCAGTAAAGAATTTGAAAAATTGGGTGGGTAAATACATCAGGCAATAAGGTAGTTTAAGCATTTATTATTAAAAACAGAGTTACTCATCAACTGATTGAAATTAACATATTTATTTCATCTGTATGTTAATACTGGTTGTATTAACTACTGAAAACTGGGCAGTGCTGCAACCCACTGAACTGGTTCAGCTTTCACTCAAGATGCATTCTTAAACGGTAGTATCACCAGTTTCCAACCAGCCTGATAGGTTTTGCTGAGCAACCACTTCAGTTACTGTGAGACTAATGCACATGTGCAGATTGATGCAACAGATGTTTGTCCAAGCCAACATGACTCAAGGGTAGGAACGCTATTCTCATGGGACAATATCTGCCTTCCCACACAATGAAGGGAGTTTTGAAGAGAATATGACTGAAAGTAAAGGTTACTGTCATCAGAGGACATCTGTCCTATCATCTGTCTAGCAGAGAGGATTTCAGAAGAATCTACTGTTCACATTACAGAAAAGAAACCCTCAACAGTTTCAGACCTGACATTTCATGTTTAATAATCAACATAGCAGCTTACAAAGTTTAAAAAATGACCAGTTACTGGCTTTGGAATAAAGGTAAACTGTGAGATTGATCTTGTAACTCATAACGCTTGTTGAAGGCAAGGAAAACTTTGCTTTTTGGCAGCTTGACAAAGTCAAGCTTGACTTCACAAAGAAGTGCTCCATGTGAAACTGTCATCATCGTAGCATACTACCATTAACTGTTACGTGAAAGCCATGTTTTCACTTACTTTGCAAACTGAGAAAGCTCATTGTATATGTATACACACCTTTGGCTGAATTCTACTCTTGGAAGAATTTTTTACGAATTCATTGACTGCATTGTGACCCTAGGATGAAGATTTGTTGCTCTAGTATTCAAATGCATGTTATTCCCAAATGAGATAAAACCCCTTTCCATTACATAGTTCATTCCAAAGCGGGGGTGAGGAAATCTAACTGGTACATAACTCCAGAGCATGAAACAACATTTATGTGAACAAACAGAACATTTGTTTATTCTAGCCAGGTAAACAAGCAGAATAAAAGTGGAACTTTTAACAGAAAAAAAAAAAATCCCATCACAAATCCCAAGGCACACTAGTGCAGGGAATACACTGAGTGCAAAGCAAAAGCCATGCTGTTTTGGAAAGCTCACACATAAAAGCAAGTACAGCACGCATGAAGACTTACCTGCTTATACTTCTGCTAAAAGACAAGACAAATAATCATGCTAAGTATATCTAATACTCATATGATGTATGCATATCAGGCAAATGCAGTGTTAATATTTTATTGTTTGCATTAGAAATGGCAGTTTAAAACCAAACCATAAATACATCATGTTCAATGCTTGTCAAACAAAGTTCACAATTTGAATGAGATATTACATTTCTACTCAAGAATCAGAAAAACTCTTATATGACTGGATCCAACTAAGTAGAATTACACACATAGAAAATGAAATTATCAGTGATAAAGGTGAAAACTGGCATGCTTGACTCAAGAAGCATGAAGCTACATGAAATGCTGTTTTGGCTTTGTTTTTCCATTGTACCTTTATGACTTTATATCTACAAATTTTGACCTTATGTTTTCTGTATATTTGAAGTTCATCACAAATATTCAGAAGCTAAAATTTATACATACACTAGACATAGTGGCTCTTAGAATTGAATAATAATTTAGCAATATTTAGTTGCAAGATCATTCTGTTTATACACACCTGACATCCACATAAAGAGGAATTAATGAATTGATTGTGTATTACTTTAAACGATGTAGTATATTACTTCAAATACTTTTTTTTTTCCTCTTGTATATTTGGTTAGCTGTCTACTATTCCTTTTCTTACTTTCCACACAAGACAGAAATGCATTTAAACTCTGACATGAGCTAGAAACGCAGGTATAGTTTTCAAGGTGCACTATACAGAACAAGATAGAGTAGCACCATTTTTCTAGTAGGCACTAGATAGTAGAAATAAGATTAGAACTGTTCCTTTCCAAATGCAAAATCCTGTGCTTGCATCAGGCTGATTAAAAAAAAATGACCAATTTTCACGGAACAGTTTATAATTCTCTGAATTGAAATAAGGTCAAAAAATACAGCATGTTGGGAAAATACAAGCACCAGGATACCTTGTATAAAAGCATAGTATAGTTCCTATAGATTGAGCAGACACATCATCTATATGAGTTACCTGAACAGAAAGTAACCATATAAAGTGAAAGAAAACATCTTAAAAACAATCGCACTACAGATTGGAATCACATTGCTTTCAAATTAATCCTGAACACCGTTGTCTATATTTTTCCCTATCTGAAGGCAAGCAACCATTTTTGTTCTTCTTTTTAATCTCAGATATTAACCAAAGGGTTTTTCCAATGACAATTCCGTATTTTCTCTTGCAAGTGTGAACTCAGGCAAGTTTTTCAGCAGCATTAGCATTCAAACAACCAATTAGACCTTCATGAGCTTGTGCCAGCTATACAGTACCTTTAGGCCATGTATCACTGCTAACTCAAGAGTTCTATGTACCAGCACTGTTTGTATCACTTTCTTCACATAAGATAAAGCCTTAGTATGGTACCTGGATAGTCTGGTCCATCCAGACCTTGCTGTATGCTTTAACACTCTGCTTCACATTTGAAATTTACTGCAGAATCCCCATCCCCAACACTGGTATTGTACATTTTAGGACAAAAGCATGAAAGTTACTCATGATCCTGTCAAAACACAATATGGAGGTATCCTGCATGAAGATACTATTATGGTTATTTCAAGAAATAGACATTTGCTGAACCAAACACAAGCAACATGAGCGATCATGCAATAATTGCAGTGAACTCACTGATAATGGGGATTTTCTATCCTGGTCAATCCAGACACCTTCAGCATCTCCTTAATAATTTTCCTTTCATATTTCTGGAACATAATTTCCTTACAAGTGTGCCTACTGTATCCAAATATTACACATAATATAGTCTTTCTATTTTCAGGCTGTATTTATAAATTACTATTTCATTTATGTTTCAAATCAATGCATACATTACTCATATTAGGAGTGCTTTAGAGCTCAGACTGATTCAGAACTCTACAAACTATAAAGCTACCTGTAAAACTCAATCTCAGGAACTGTGTCAGCTGCCTTAAAAAAATAAAACAAAGACATCGAGACTGCAAGCCACCCGTGGCAGAGCAATGCGTCTCTTTCCAAGTGTCTGACTACTTCCACTAAACTTGAAGCTAAACTTGCATTTTGTAGAAACGTTCACATAAAGTTAAATAAGATCAAACCCGTAATCACTTCAAGCGCAGTCAGCCAAAGAATAATACTTTTATGCAGTGACAGGTCTCCCTCAGAATTAATGAGCATTTATATTATTAAGAAGTTGTTGTTCCACTTACTGTGCCACGTCGGATACAGCTGGCAGTGGCAACTCTTCTGATATAAGGTCAATGTCATCAGTGAAGCTGTTGGCCCGTGACATTTCTTGGGTATTCCCTTCTAAATGTCTTTTCACTGCACAAATAATTCAAAGAAATCATAACACATTAGGGAGACAACATATACAAGCTCTT